TCACTTACACAAATGCTTATTTGATTATGAGATCATAAATACCATATTGTTCTATTAAATTCGGGTTTCGGGCTAAAAGAAATAAAACAAAAAAATTTGCCAATCATTTAATGTAACAAATATTCAGCGTTATAAATTACTATTACAATAGAAACGTATCATTATTAACTAAACTATGAAAAAGTTTAAAAAAAAAAAACATCAGCACTAACTTCATCGCATCGTTAATCGATTAAATCAATAAGATATAGATAACTGTTGATTTTGAGTTCAGGAACGACCCTGATGGATTCCAGAGGAAGGTTAACAATCCTAGAAGGTTAAAAACCATGTGAAATAAAAAAAAATATATAAAGAAAATCAATACCTACTGAATTGTTGTATTTCAAAACTGAAATATAGTTAATGACTGAGATAGTTAAATGAATTTAAATATGCAAAGTAAATTGAGAAATAACACTGAAATTATAGTAATATTACATACAGTGGATCAACTGATTTAATCACTGAATAAAGGAATGCGCTGAATATCATTGGTGAGCTCAGTGCTGAATTTAGCAACTTTCTTTTATAAAGTTTTTTATTTTGACATTTAAATGTGCTCTTGCAATAAATAAAGTGTTGTTTACATTTTATCCTTTACTTTAAAAAATTAAGATGTCCTAGTTATTGTGGGTACTTCCTCTATTTATCAACTCAAGGTACAGACTCTTGTTAATCTGATTAAAAAAAATTAAAAATATAGAAAATAATTTTAAATTTCTAACACAAATATGTTTTGATTTAAATTAGTAACAACATCTGTAACAGATCCGGGAGCTTTTTAATAGGGCTTAATCTTTGGGGGCTTCGGCCAGGAAGCATATACACATAATAATTTTCTTAGGAAGAAAAATAAATAAACTAACTACTCCTATGAAATGAAGTCTAAGTGATCCTTGAGGTCCAATTAAAAAAAAAATAATGTAATTTCACAAAGAATAATACTTATTAAAATTTTTTTTTTTCATAAGACCTGGTTTTATTTAGTCACTTTATATGCATTATAATTTTATAAAATAGAACTTTGTTCAAGTATTTAGCTTAAATCACTTACAGAAACAGATATGGACCAGTGAACCAATTAAAAAAAAAAAAATTCTCCATTTATATTTTGGGTGAAAGGGAGGGTTCCATATAGGTTGTGGATAATATATTCGAAAAGTGTATAAGAAAAGGAACGCTTTGATGTATAAGGGAAATAAAGTCACCATTGTTAAACATAATATAAGTCTTAAGGTGTTATATATATTATAAGGCCTAAAACTAAGGGCAATAATGTTGGCACAAAGGCAATAAAAATAAATATAATTTTTATGACTAAATATATCTTTTATTTTATATAATTATCTACTATCATAAATTAAATACAGTAATAGAGTAAATTTAGAATTATAATAATGAAGATTTTTGAGCTTGAATACTTAAAATAAAAAAAAAAAAATGAAATTATTGGAAGACTTCTGAACAATGTAATATGTCTCAAATTTATTATTTATTTATACATTTCTTTGGAAATATTTCCTAATATTTTTGTATTACAAGTAATCTTTATATTGTTTGTGTTGTAGAAGACATTTTGTGAGCCACTTATTCCATTGTATGTTAATTGCTTCAATTATATCAATTCTATCGTGATATAACAATTTTCTTAGAAATGATGTTTAAATGTAATTATAATCTCAATATAAATGGAGTGTTATTGTTGTGGAGATGATTAAATTTTTATAATATAAATATTTCTTATAAATGTGTATCATTTGACCTAAATTAGATTGGTCAAAAAATCAATATTAAAAAAAATAGCAATGATAAGCTAATGCTGAACTTTGACTCTCTAGTTTTGTTTTTTATTTGTCTATTTTATTTAGAGGTTATCGTGTGTTTATTTTTATTTGATTGAACAATTTTTGTGTTTCTCTTACCATTATCAAGAATAATGATCAAATATAACTCTTACTCATATATAATTTATAAAAAAAAAAAAATTAAGTGTTTAAAAAATAAATCTTTCTTGTTGCCTAAAAACTTACTAAATTGCTAAAATCTTAATAGTTTTGAACTTTAAATTTAAAAAATATTTACTTCCTGGTTGGCTTTATAGACCTTGCAGATATTTAGTCACCTCTACCACATTTCTCCTCCTTTTTCTTTTTTCTTTAACCCGCTAGGCCGGATTCAATCCAATGTTGCTGGACACCAGAATGCTAAAACAGGCAACACTCTTTACTAATATGATCTCGTATTTCTCTTTTGTCTTCGGCAATAGCTTTCCAGTTTACTCTATGGTGTTAAGCCACATCCTTCTTTGTCCTATCTACCCATCTGAGCTTCGGCATATTTTATTATAGTTCCTCGTGAAACATTCATAGTGAGGAAGAGAAGACCTCTTGGATGCCTTTTTATCACAAATATCACCTCTTATAACCTATTTGCTTTCAAATCAAGGACGATTGATTGCTTGAATTCGGATATTATTTCTTCCTTTATCATTATTATTCAAAATCTCAATTCCACATTTCACTTCAGGCCTATTATCATACTGAGAATTTTATGCTAAAATATATTATCTTTTCAGCAAGAATTTGAATGTAATGGTGTTGATTAAAATAGTTTGACCTTCAGAAACCCAGTGCATGGATTGCTGCTTCATTTCAGGATCACAAGTAAAAAACCACGATTCATCAATCTGCATTAAAGGGAACAAAATTTGAGTCCGTTGAAGCCAACAAATCCATTGAAACTGTGAAAGAGGAAGCAGCACACGTCCTGGAGGTGCTGACAGAAGAAGACTTACAGCACTGTATCAGACAATGGAAGATTCCGACAGAGCATATTCGGGATAGAGGAGGGGTGTATATTGAAGGTGATACAATAAATAAATAAAGTTAATTTGTATGGAATCAAAATAAAATGTTTTACAGCATTAGTCTCGTTATTTAATACCCCTACCTTTTATATAGCTTAATTTTTTTCTGTATATATTCACATTTTGTGGTATTCTATTACACAAACAATAATATAACTCAAAAACAATTTTTACTAATGATCTTATCAATAACATAAGCCAGGCTAATGGAGATGTTGGACCACTCTGCCGCAAATGTGGCCGAGAGTCAGAAACTCCAGCTCATGTGTTGGGCAATTGTCTGCATAACATAATCCTAGTCAACCGTCGGCACGATGATATAAAGCATCGTATAGCCGAATTCCTTGAAATAAAGAGCTATAAATGTTTCCCCGAAGTTTATTGCCTGGGTACAGAAAGCTCAACAAAGTTCATTGACATCTTGGCGTTCAATTCGACGGAAAAGGAGGCACGATTCCCAAATCGTGAATCCCACGATCAGAATCAGGACTTCCAGGTGCAGGCAGAGAAAGAGGAAATTTATATACATACCTTATCTTTATCTGAAGGAAAAGTACAGAGCTGAATAAGGCGAGAGAGAATAATAAGTTAAAGGGCTATGGTTCGGAGGTATCCCTCTTAATACAAGTAATTTCTTGTAGAGCCTCGGTGTTCGAAGGGAGCAGATGCAGACTATGACAGAAACAATTATTTTAGACTCGTTAGGAATCCTACATCACCACATATATAAATCTAGGCCTTCACTTATTTGGTTCTATAAACCGTTCTTAGCATGTCTGATATGTATTGAAATGGTCTGACCTAACTCTATCTTATATTTTTTTACAGTACTGTCTATTCAATGATGCGTATGCTGTGTTATTTAGCAACTCAACACAATTGAGTAGCCGTGGAACGTTGTATTTTCCTCTAGTTTTTACTTTCACTTACGTATATATTTAATATATAGTAAGTGTAAGTATTGCGATCGAGAAAATTTTTGAATCTGAGTTTTCAACGGATTTACACATTTTGAGGTACCCTGAATCGAAATGACCAAGTCCCGAAAAATGGTCTGTGTGTCTGTTTGTTTGTATGTTAGCAGTCTAGCTCAAAAACGAAAAGCCCTATGAAACTGATATCACGTATTTAAGATAGGTATTGCCACTTTATATCGGATATCAACGCTGAAACACATTTTCACAATTTTCTCAAAAACGGCTCTAATGATTTTGATTAAACTCGGTGTATCATTATATAATTAATTGGTCTTTAATATCAATTAGGTCTTATCCCAATTGATGTCACTTTACAGGGCTTAAATGCCCAATGTTCATATACGTCTTCCTCTAAAGTACCTTTAATACGGTTTGTTTTAAAAAGTTAATCATTTCACATTATTCACAGTTACGAAAAAATGCTAAATATAACTTTTGAAAGAATTCGATAAGTTAATAAAGGAGAAAAAAAATAAAAATGCAGAAAAACCTGCATTGCTATAGACTGTAGCGCCAAAACGAATGTACCAATTTTTTATTATTGTTATTATTAGTTCTTTGTCAACACTTTAACAAAAAAAAAGATTTTATTTTATCTAGAGAATGAAGGAGAATGAACTCCAATCACTTTTGGTTTGTTCTATTAAATATTAAGAAAGCTTCTCACAAAGTCCTCCTGACAGTATTCAACCAAGCCAAGCCTGTCATTAGCTTCCATAGTAGATCGCAACGTCGCTAATAGTTACTTCATCAAATTTATACAGACCTTTCAACTCCGCTCTTAGACTTTGATTCATTTGAATTTTTTCTGTACAAACTGAGCCTAATGTTAACAGCTGGCTATAAAGAATGAGCTCTCTCAATCCAAGATAAAGAATTGATGTTGGCTCCAGGGCCTTATAGGTCAACCTTCCGCATATCATATGTCACACAATTTTCTCTTTTTCTCTACTCCCTTCCTGAATCCAATATTGGTGTCCTCTTTTGGACCTTTTAGCAATAACCTGATCCCGGATTGCTAATATAATAATTGAATTATTATCTTATTTTATTTATTATTATTATTTTTTTATTGTGAATAATGTATTTATATTATGATTTTTTTTTTTTTTTAGGAACTATGAAAATTTTGAATGGTAAAGGAAAGGGCTACCGAAAAGGTGTAAAATGCACTCCCAGTAAACGTATGGGTCTCAAAATGATAGGTAATCATGATAGTTAATTATTTATTTATTAATTTAAGTATCAAATGGATGAAGGAGATAAGTAATGATATGTCAAATTTAAAATTTTAGTTTAAAAATTTTCATAAATCTTTGACTTCCTGTCCTATAGTACCCTATAATAATACTCCACTTATCCCTGTTGAACCAATCTGCTTCCTAGAACTCTATCTAGACATTTTCGGCTACTTCAATATTTATTGGACAAACACTCTAAACTTCCTATTAATTATAAAAGATTCTTTACTATAATAAGATATATTTGGACTTATGGAGTTGAGCTTTGGAGCTCCACTAAACCATCGAATTCCTCTCACACTAAATCCTTACAATCCAGAATCCTTTGCAAAATCCTCAATGTCCCATATGTTGCCATCCAGATACCTATCCTTCCATAATAAAATTCAGAACCATCCGAACCGTCTCGTTTCTAAACTCACTTCTTCTTTGATCCCTGATAATCCTCCGAGGCATCTGAAAAGATGACCTCGTGGTCTCCTAGTACAGATGTATTATTTGAATGCTCTACCAGTGCGGTAATTTCTCATCAAGTCTTTTCATTTCTTTATACTCCTTTTTTCACATTTATTATATGTATTTTTGCTTTAATACTTTTGTAAAGATCATGAATATAAAAAAAAAATAGAAAATAGTTTAAAAATTGAATTGACATCAACCTTGTCTATTACAAGGCAGACATGTTTTACTTATCACCTTCATCAACTCACTCCAAAGCCAACTATTCACTTAATGATAGTAATATAGTTATAATAATATAAATAATAGCAATATACTTATAATAATATAGTTATTTGGTTGGAAAATAAGTCCTTTTGGTTTTTCTGTTTATTTTTATGTCACTATGATACACTTCTTATCTGATGAATGAATTCCTAAGGTGGATTGTTTATCCTGTTTGTAATATGTCAACAAATATATCTGTTGACTCTTGTTGAAACTAGCTTAGTATTGTGTTTGCTATTGCACTGTGATTATAGAAGAAAATATCATTAATTATCGGCATAATTTGTTTTAAAAAAGTAAGCCTGCTGCATAAGCTCATAGAAAAATTTGCACTGTTTATGGGAATGATGCCTTAACGGAACGCATCTGTCAAAATTGGTTTTCCAAATTTCATTCAGGAAATTATGACATCGATGGTGCTCAACGGTCTGGTTGCCTCCATGAATGTTGCAATGACAAGGCCATTGTTGATCCAAATTCCACTCAACCAGTGCGAGAGATCGCTATGGCCATAAATGTGTAGAAAACCATTTGCACAAGCTCGGCTATCTTTTCAGGCTTAATATTATGACCCCTCACTCTCTAACCGAAGTCAACTTGGCAACACACATTTCTGTTTGTGATTCACTGCGGAAACGGCAACAAAACGACTCATTTTTTTTGGTTGATAACAGACATTACGGTAATGTAGTCCATAGAAATTCTCCTAGAAAATTGTCAAACCTCGGATAATGCTTTCCATATGGTGGGATTTCAAGGGTATTTTCTACGAGCTATTTCCATCAGGACAAACAATTGATTCAACTCTATACTGCTCCCAATTAACAAAATTGGATCAATCAATAAAAAATAAACTCCTAGAACTGGCAAATCAGAAGGTTGTTGTGTTCCACCAATACAACGCTAGGCCCCACACCTCATTGGCCATTCGCAATAAATTATTGAGTCTTTGGTGGGATCTTTTGCCTAACCCTCCCTATTCAACAGACCTACCTTCAAGTGACTACCACTTATTCCAGTCTCTGCAGAACTCCATGAATGGAAAGAAATTCCAAAAGGAAGAGGACATCAAAAGCCACTTAAATCAGTTTTTTAACAATAAATTCCAGAAATTCTATGAAAATCGTAGTATGCAGTTAGTGGAAAGATGGGGAAAGCCATATTAAATAATGGTCAATATGTTGTAGATTAAAATAAATTTTATGTCTATATTACATTGAGTTTTATTTCACCCTGAAAAACCGAAAAGACTTATTTGCCAACGCAATAACAATATAATCAGTATCAGTGTTATATTTTTCGATTTTTATCTGTTCTCCATCATTCCAGTTGATAAATCATTATCAAGTTTATCTATTTTAAGGAATGGGGGATGACTCATAATGCAGTCACTCAGCGAGCATTTAATAACATGTCAGTTTATTGCAAAATGTCACTTAGTAACCATTTTTGATCGAGCTGAACTATTAAGAACATTTCTGTGAATTTCGGCCTTATTTAAAAAAGAAAAACGCAGTAAGTGCAATAAAATGACTTAGACCCTTTTATATATGAAATACAGTAACAATAAGAAACTTCTGATCAATGAGTAATTTTCTGATTTCACAAAGAGAAAATTCATCAAAATGTTTAGTGATTTAAGGTTATGAAATGTCACTTAATGACTTTTTGTAATAAACCAACGATACAATTTAAGATCAGGGCATTTTCTGTTTGGATAATAATATATTTTATGTTGAATAACTATATTTACTAGTTGTCCTCTAGGAATAATTTACAGAAAATTTTGTTTAGTGAAGGGATAGCAAAACAATTTGGGAATAAGTAGATTCTATGTATTATATGAGCAAGGAATTAATTGTTTTTCCTTGGCTGATTACAATATTACATTTAACATAAGAGACCAAAGTATTTGTACAAATTGCTTTGCTAGGGCCTACTTTTAAACACTGACTGGAAAGATAATATTCAAAATAAAGCCTCAATAATGAGATTTTCTAAATTATTCAAAAATATAAAATCTACAAACAAAAATGCCTGTAAGAAATAATTAAGTCAATATATCAGCAAGGAATTAATTGTTTTTCCTTGGAAGGGTAGTAGAATAGTAAATGCAGTATCATTGAAGGAAGTTAGTCAACTGTTCTACGTATTGTGGGTAAAATTAGATTATCACCTCCAGATGAATACCATTTTGCATATAAATTGTTGGTCTAAAATCTTTATTTTGTGTTAAGAGAGTATGAGGTTGCAGAAGCTCAATACTGTAAAGAAGACACCATGGTGTAAATCTCTATTTTGTATTAGGATAGTGGGAGGTTACAGGACCTCAACACATATATAATTAAATGAACAGCTATTTTAATTATAGAGCTAATAAAAGAGCTCATATAATATCCTACTTTCCTAATACTAAAATAAAGTAAAATATGAAAGTCACTACAAACTTTTTTATATAATAACAGAGATTATAAAATTGAGCGAAAAATCCAGATTTTTTGTTTAGATTTTGTCTAACTCTGTCTCTAAAGATAAAGTTAGGCTATTGCTACAGCTTTTACTAAACTCTGTATTTACTGAAATATTTTAGAAAAATTCTAATATATTATATTTAAATGATTTCCACTTCAAAATCATTCTCAAGGACTTTTAATATGTTGTACAGGACACCGTTTTGTACAAATATGCCAAATTTCAAAACTTCGAAATGTTTTCCTCTAATTGATAATTAAAAGTCTAATTTGACCAAATTTTGAATACTTTATTGAATATTTTATGGGCTACAGAGAATTTTCCAATAAGTATGAAAACAAGGAAATAATTTTTCACATTCATATTTTAATTTATTTTTTATTGACAAATATTTTACTGTTCCAAGATAGTAATTTAATAAAAAAAAGAATATTTTATGTTTTCACATCATTTTATTATTACTGTTATAAAAATAAATATTCTGTTCATTTTTTTTTAGCTTCGAAAAGGGAAGAGATGACTCCAGTTACTATGGATCCTTGTGATAACTCCAACGACTCCGGTCTTGGTTTCGATCATATAGATTTTCCTGCTGCTCATTCAACATTTAGTACGCAAGAGGTAATAATATTATTATGTGTATGGGTGTATTTGTATATGTATAAATATTGTAATACTTCTCTACTGTTTACATATTCAAATATTAAATACCCTCATTGATGAAAAAGTTTAAAACTCTTTCCTTTATAAATATATCCTTTATAAGTCCCACAGGAAAATGTCATAATTTAATAATACACATACATATTATTGTTTGTGTTTCACATTTTATTAGAAAATTTCCTCTTTTGTTTTTATTTAATAATTTATAGATTTCACATTAAGTCATTTATTACAGTATTGTTGGGGTAATGAGGAAACGAAGAAACGGCGATATGACATTAAATTGGAGTCCGATAATGCCAATGATAACTTTACTTTTCCTCAAACAAGGATATCAACTCACCAGTCTCAGGATGTGCCATTAAGGTTTGTTTAATAATTTAAATATTTTCCTATTTATAATTAATTGAAATATAACTCTCAAATTAGATAGCTGTCCTTTTCCCTAATGGAACCGACGTATAAGCGACATCTGCAAAACATGTTAATTCATCTATCGAATATAATATTATCAAGATTGTCTATTCGACGCAGACAAGTGGAAGGAATACATAATACTGCATTGTATGTAGTGTAGATAATAAATTAGTTGAATGAGATCTTCGAAAAATAGTTTTACTTATCCCTTAATACCTTATAAATTAATGATTATAATAGTTCTATTAATTTTAAGTTGCTATTTTTTTTTTAAATTATTGATAATTTTTATTTATTTTTTTCAGCCTTCGTACCAAAGGTAGCGTTTCTGTAGGAAAAGGAAAAGCTAGCAAAGTAATGGTTGGTGGAAGTCAAGGATTCAGCCGTAATGGAAAGGTTCAATTGCAAATCATTTCTCAACCTGAAATGCAACACCGTGCCAGATATCAAACGGAAGGAAGCAGAGGTGCAGTAAAAGACAGATCAGGAAATAGCTTTCCTATTGTAAAGGTAATATTTTTATTTATTATTATTTTCAATAATCAACCATTGTGATCGACCAAAAAATTCAAAAACTTAACCCACTCTCAAAATTTGAGGTTTTATGTTTCAGGATGCATAATGCCTATAAAGGTTTATATCAACCATCAATATAAAAAATTTTTTGTCCGTCCGCCGTCCGCGCATTTTCTTCGAAACTACTGGACCGATTTTTTTCAAATTTGGATATAATAATATTGGTCACCCGAGGATGATCCTCCTTCTTCGACATTACTATCCCCCTTTTATTTTCAAAATGATGGCCAAAAAACCTGCGTTGCTATAGACTGTAGCTCCTAAACGAATATACCGATTTCAATGAAACTTTGCTAAAGTCATTTTCTTGACTCCCTTTAAATTTATCTATACAACATACTTCGACGAAAAGAAGCTGGAAAAAAAGTTACGAGGGATGGTAAAATTTAATGCCGAATAATTCAAAAAGTATACACTTTTTTGTGGATATTTTATTGGTTTTTTAAAAGTTTACGGAATTTCCTAAACACCAAAAAAAAAATCATTAAAATCGGACAATTAGGAGCAAAGATATGGTCTCCAGTTTTTTTTTTATATGTTCTACTCCAAATGTTATATACTTCGTTTGGTTTTTAAATTTTGAATGTTTTACTGAATTAATGCTTTTTTTTTTTTAGCTTATTACTAATGATTAAAAAAAAAGTTTAGTCCAATAATTGGAATTACCTTTTATTTATTTTTCTTTGTAACTAGGAAGGTAATGTTACTTTAGATGTATAGTTGTTTGGAAATAATAAACCATTGTGAAATAATTTGCAGCATTTTTTTTTTTTATTATTCAGCATACATTACTAAACATTTAGATGAAAATTATTCTGCAATCATCAATTCAAAAGATATTTATTTTTAAAGTCATTATATCAGACTTATTGAAACAGTGTATTTGACAAGTGAATCCAGTATTACTTCATTCCTTGCAGAGTTTTGTTTATGTTCTGTCAAGTATGCCTCACCAGTATCTTAAATCATTTTATATTTAAATAATACTAAAAAGAAATTGAACGATAACATAGTTCACAGGTAGAGAACCTGTAGCCTCAGTGAACTTGCTATGGCGGCATGGTTTTGATTAATCTAGTACTATAATTAATTAATATTTAATTAGTCAAGTCACAGAAATTTAAAAATTAATTAAATTTAATATTAATTAATCATTGCGGCTTCTAATGATGATAAGATTCCCTACCTAGGATATAAAGTATCGTAAAATTAAGATATATTCCACATGATGTATTGAAAAAAAATTAGGGAATTTAAATGATTTAGATCAATTTGATTTTCTTGTAGTTAATATACAACTTGAAGTATACTACATTTTAATTAGCATTTTTATTTTCACTTTTAAAATGAACTATAATAATAACCTTATCGATATTTAAAATTAATTTATGGCTATGGGTAAACTAAAAATTTCAAGCTCATTACTTAACAATGGTGGACAATTTCTATGCTTTGATTGACTGAAAATAAAGTACTTATGTCTTTTAATACAATTTTTTTTTATGACGTTATTCATAAAATTTTAAGTATTTAAAACTGTTTAAACTGGACCTAAACCACTTTCATTTCAACCATGTTAATTTCAAGAATTTTTAATTTTTTGAAGTTTCATTTCATGATCCAGAAAATGTGAATGTTATATTATTCCATTTCATTACTTTGTTACCATCATATAAGACGGGTGCCAGGAAAATAATGGATAATTACTGAGCTTTTACGAGTATATTATGTTCAACAATATACATATTATGTTCAACATGCATGGAACTATATAAGTTAAATTACTAACTACACTAATATAATAGCATTACATAACAATAAATATAATAGAACTCACTAATAAAACAATCTATAAAAATAATGTGCATATAAATAACTAAAATAACAATAATAACATGCGCATGCTAGCTAGATAAATTTCTATATAATGCTACTTAATACTTAATACTTCTATATAATACAACCAGATGTCAGCCTCCAGAAGGTATCCTGTTCTTTGGTGTCCTAGAAGATATCCTGACTGAAAAGAAACAACTATATAATTTCTCTATGTCAATCAATTCATAAGGTCGATAGGGAATCGATATTGATAATGACCCCTCATTACTGAACTACACAAGGTAGTTCAGTTTGCATGTGAAAGATATCAGTAAATGTGTTACCCGCTCGTGGGGATTTATCCTAACAAAGGTGTATTCTTCTATAGGCTTCTTTATCACAGAATGCAGTGCTAACATGGGAGACATCCACTATTTTATTAACATGCTAACTCACCATTTTCCGAACCTTCCTACAGTTTTCTTAACTCAGTGTTGCCACCGGTCATAGTTCGTAGCTCCAATCCTCCAATATAGGACCTTATATAGGCCCTCTCACACATTGCTTTATTACTTATTAATATCTTTACCGTTATATTTTTTTCAGTTGTGTGGTTACAATAAACCAGCTACACTGGAAGTGTATATAGGTACAGATCAAGGTCGTGTAGCCCCGCACATGTTTTATCAAGCCTGCAGAGTTTCTGGGAAGAATTCGACCCCCTGCCTCGAGAAGAAGGTTGATGGGACAGTTCTGATTGAAATAGAGCTCGATCCTGCTAAAGATATGACTGTAACGTGAGTACGATCATTTATTTATGCTAATACACTGACAGGCAAAAAATTCCTCCCACTTCATTTTTTCATGTTTTAATCTAAAAATATTTCACCCACTTTTAAAAAAAAGTTATATTTGTATATAATACATGGTATTTGTAGATAATACTTAGTATTTATGGAATTTTATAATCTTTTTTACCTTTAATAATCAAAATGTGATTGGGTAAGAAAGATTAGAGAAAAAAAAAATTGAAAAACGAACCATTATTGTTCTAAAATAAATTAATTACATCATCATTTATTAGTGCGTGTTTCCTCCTCTTGCCTTCACTACTTCTTGAAGACGCCGCGGCATACTTTCCATCAGTTGGGAAATGTCCCTTTGCTGGAGGATAGCCCATTCCTGACGGCGTCTCGTAAAGTTTCATATGGAACTCCGATGGCATTAGCTGCATATCTAATGGAAGGTCCATCATCAATTAGTGCCACACCACGCGCAACATCCTCAGCTCTAAGAGGCATTTTTAAACTTAATATTGAAAAAAATTAAAAGCCGGAGACTAAGAAATGTGCTGCAAGAAACGGCACTGAACTAATGATAATGAATAAACATTTTGATTCCATAGAAAGTTAACATTGGAATCTAGGATTATTTCATTGAACTAAGGATTAAGGGTTATTGTCATCTATATTAACATTCCTAATTGAAAACAAACAAAAAAAATTACCTATTTATTCATTAAAAAAAAATAGACCAATCCAAAGCAGAAATATTTTTAGATGAAAACATGAAAAAATCAAGTGAGTGGAATTTTTTGCCTGTCAGTGTATAATAACAAATACAGAAAAACTTCATTATAGTGTTCCGGTTTCTAACAATTTTTTACTGGTTATAATCAGAACCCGGGTCTTTTTGAGCGGTTGCATTTTTTATTTGCATACATCCATTGTATATTGTAATAGTCGACCACCAAGCTGGATTCAGAAGAGGAAGGAGGATGATAGACCAGAGCTTCATCCTAAAACAAGCACTCGAAAAACGATGGGAAATAGCTTAGGAATTTGTTGATTTCAAAGCAGCCTATGATTCTGTAGACAGGAGCTGTCTTTAGGAAATCATGAATGTGCTGGGATTTCCCGGGTAAGTTTGTGATATTGATATAGGTGTGTTTAAATGACCCTAAATGTCCTTAGAACTAATTAAGAGGACATTGAGAAACTCGCTAAGACACTAATAAGAGAGGCAGAACAGATCGGTCTACAAGTAAATGAAGACAAAACAATATATAGGATAAGCTGAAAATTCCACCCCAGTCACACAATCTCAAAGGAAATCATTCCCGTGAGTTGACAAATTCAAATACCTAGAATCCACAATAACCTCAAATGAATGACTAACGGTGAGAAATAGACCAACAAGAGGAAATAGAGCTTTTATTTTCTCTTTCAAAGTTATTTTGAAATCCCGAAAAACTTAAAATTAAGGGTGTACAATGATAAAGTCAGTTCTAATGTATTGCTGTGAGACTTGGACTCAAAGCAGCGCTCTAGAAAAAAGTATTGAAATATTTGATAGAAAAATTCTCCCCATGATTAACGAATCAATTTAGGTTCAGAGTACTAACACATGGAGGAGAAAGACCAATAAAGAGCTGTTTACAGAAACAGCTCAATCAATATCTTTTGATATAAAGGCAATGAGGTTAAGATGGGTGGGGCACGTGACTCGTAGCCATCCATCTGGAAGCCTCTACATAACAATGAATGCCTTAATAGTAAGCAAAAAACCTTGTGGAAGGCCAAAAGTAAATGGATAGATCAAATCAACGAAGATGCAATAGAGCTGCATTCAGATAACCGCAAAGAAAAAGCACAATATACACAGAGATAGAGCGGGTTTGTTAAGGCTGTAATACCAACAGGAAAAAAAAAATGATTCAACTGCAGATCAAATATATATGAATTAGTGTACTCAGATACAATAAGCCAATTTTTATTTTGAATACTTGATGATTAATCATGGTGTAGCCAAACTATTTTATTTAAATAAAATAGTTTGTTATTATTTTAGTCTTTTTATGACCCTGGACCATCTTCTTACTCAATTTTTATTTTGCATATTTCACAATAAATGCCTATATAATTCATAATTAGTAAATGGTTGACTGTCGTGGATAATGAAGAGAAGAATAGTTGGGGTGGTCAGTCAAAAAAGAAGGCAAAAATAAATGATAATGTTTATGTTTACATATACCGACATTTCGACCTGAAGTTCAGGCCTTCATCAGGGTTAAGAAAATAACCAGATAACAAGGTATGAGAAACATAAGTAGTGATGGTAAAAAAAAATTAAAATAAAATAAAAATAAAAAATTATAAAACAAAAAAAATAAAGTAAAATGAAATTGTTAGAATAATGACAATAGTAAGAACTAAGAGATAAATAATAATAACCATTACTATGTGTCATTATGACATCTCTTCTCTCTGCCCCTCCCTTGCTACGACTTTTATTCTCCCTGCAACACTTATGGAGACAGGTAGTACTTCTTTTATTTATTTCTTATTTCAGCTTTCTCAATTTCTTTCCTCCTTCCTTTCATTCCTTTTCTCTGTTTTTAACTCTTTATTATATTATACATTGTCTGTACATCTTTACAATATCTCAATTTTCTATCTAACTACTCCATTCTCAATGTTTTAATTTTACTGTTTATTTTCATTTCTTATATAACTTCATATTTCTTTTTTATGTTTTACATTTTATTCTAAGATTCCCATTGTAACACTTTTGTCACCCTTTTTGGTTATGCCTACTTCATCATTCTACACTTTGTAACGATTATTGTTATTTATCTCTTTGTTCTTAGTCATTATTCTAACAATTTCATTTTACTTTATATTTATTTATTTTATTTTTCTAATTTTTTTATTTTTGTTATTTTTTTACCATCACTACTCATGTTTCTCATACCTTGTTATCTGGTTATTTTCTTAGCCCTGATGAAGGCCTGAACTTCAGGTTGAAACGTCGGCATATGTAAAAATAAATATTATCATTTATTTTTGACTGACCACCCCAACTATTCTTCTCTTCATTTATTTTTCCCTTCTTTTTTGACTGACCACCCCAACTATTCTTCTCTGCCTATATAATTGCATATTTTCAGTGTTTCAAAATTGATACATTAGTTTTTTTTACATGTTTAATATAATTTTTGTAATCACTTATATCAATACATTTGTTCTTCCCGATGTTTATTAGTCTATAAAAAAAGAAAATTCCTCTAAAACATTTAAGTAATTTTCATTTAATTTTTAATCCTTCCTCTAAATTTTTTTTTTTAGGCTAGAACTTTTAATAGTAAGTGTATTTTAATAATCTTACTGGAATAGTTTGCAGTTTTTTATTGTTTATTATTGGCCGTATTCTACAGACTTAAACTGTATAAAAATCCAGTCTCTGTTTATAACTAAGTTTTACTATATTAATATTTAATTTTACTTGTACGACACATAAGCCACTATTCTTCTATTTTTGTTTACTACTTCAGCCATTTAGTTATAGTAGCATACTTGAGAATTAATCGAATTTTAAACTATTACATTTAAAAAAACATTTTATTTATTTACTCGACAGTAAAAAATCTACAAATTAATATTTTTATGTTTTAGGTGCGATTGTGTAGGTATCCTTAAGGAAAGGAATGTCGATGTTGAACACAGGTTTCCTGAAGAGAGTTCTGGTCGCAGTAAAAAGAAATCGACACGTTGCCGAATGGTATTCAGGACTACTATCACAAACGATGATAACACCGTTGAAACGGTGCAAGTTACCTCTCAACCGATTATATGTAGTATGTTTTACTTTTAATCAATTTTAATTTTTTAACAGGTAAATCGCTATCGGGAAGTTTCTACTACATTCATAACAATAAGCAAATGAACACTTTTTTGTAATGGCCCCTCAGGAGGTGTTTATCTAAAGTGTTTAAGATTCATCTATTAAAAAATTCCTCTCATCATTTTTGTCTGCATTTTAAGTATGCCCCCAAAATATTATATATTATCTCTTTTATGTTCTATAGTTGGTTTTAGTCCATGGTATTTTTGTCGAATTATTAACATTCCCCTAAATTTTGTGAATAGCTTCTTCTCGTCGTAATCTACAACTATTTTATTTATGAAAATTCTCAGAATTGGGAAATATGCAGACCAGCAAACTTTGTCTTTTTAATTAGGTACTAAAAACTAATGAACACTGATTTTCTTTCCACTTGAATCGAAAGATATTATGATCACTAAATAGAGAGAAAAAAAGTGGCCTACATGTCAAAATAACGAGGTTGTTCAGACCAAATAGTCCAATGTTTTTGTATGCCACCATTTATTTATTTTTTTCAGTTTTATGATCAAGTTATCTTATGATTCAAGTGGAAAGCAATTGGATATTTTTGTGAGTTTTTAGTACTTCATTAAATTAATTAATTTAATGATAACAAGGCCCTATTTCTGAGAATCAATGTTTTGTTTTTAAGATGATTATCTTTACGTTTGAATTTCTACTATTAAATAGACCCTTTTTTAATATTTTGTTGTTTTAATTATCTTAAATTTCTAACTTTACCTAATCTGTTTATTAATATCCAAGAATTTTGTTGTGGTCACTTCTGACTATTTCTCTTCCTATTCTTTTTTTTTGCCTCTAAAAATAGATTTTTCATAGTTTATTAATATTATTGTAAACTTTATAATTAGTTATAATGCCCATTAGTCCGTGGTACAGACCTATTTTTATCAAATTATTGACATCCGCCTGAAACTTCGTAAATAACTTCATCTCATCGTAACCTGCAAATATTTTATTTACGAAAATTTTTGGAATTGGGGCGTTTTCTAGCTGGAGGTTGACTTTCCACTTGGATCATAAGATAATTTGATCACAAAATCTATAAAAAAAAAAAAAAAAGGTGGCCTACAAAAATATTGTGCCGTTTGGTCTATATAACCTCGTCATTTTGACAATTTAGGGGTGTAGGTCATGCCAAACAACTCAATATTTTTAAAGGCCACCTTTTTTTTCGACTTTGTGCTCAAGTTATCTTACAATTCAAGTGGAAAGCAAATGGGTATTTACAGGTTTTTAGTACCTTATTAAATAGGCAAAATTTGCAGACCTCCAGATTGAAAACGTCCCAATTCCAAGAATTTTTGTAAATAAAATATTTGTAGGTTACGATGAGATGAAGTTATTTACATTTAAAAAGGGGTCTGTATCACGTAGTACATAGCTTGTTATAGTCAGAGAATAATCACTGGTTTTGACATTTTTTTTTGTTGTTGTTTATAAGACTAATTTTGTCACCGTGAATATCTGAAAATGTTCCTCAAAATCCTATAGATGATGAACGAAAAGCCATATGTTGGTTTTTAAAATATTTTTAAACTTGTGTTTATATATACCTATATATATATATATATATATATATATATATATATATATATATATATATATATATATATATATATATATTATAAAAAAACAATTATTTCAATTTTTTATTTGATTTGAATTTGTGACTTGACCGCAACTAGTTTTTGCTATGACCATAACTGGTATTGTAGCGTCATATTAAAATAAAAAAATATGCAATGGAAAATACAGGCTTTGATAATTTCATATTCAATAGAAATATGATTGTGATTCCAGATATATAATCTAACAAAGATGCGTTGATATTTTCTTTTACATCAATCAAATTTCTTAACTATTAACTTAACCTATGTTTTATTCTACTTAAAAAGTTTTATTCAATATACAGAATTTTTTTTTTTATATAATACAAATTCAATATAGAGCTTAAAGCTTATTATATAAAGGTTTGACCTGTATTTCCGTCGCAATTATATACATGTCTTGAATTAATTTTTCCTACAGCACAACCACCTGGCGTACCAGAAATCTGCAAGAAAAGTTTAACTGCTTGCCCCGCTAATGGTGGCCTCGAATTGTTTATATTAGGGAAAAATTTTCTGAAGGATACTCGTGTAAGTTTTTCTCTCGGCGAACCAGGATCTGATTTGTTTTGGGAATCTATAGTTCAACCAGATAAAGAATTTCTACAACAGGTATGTTCATTTTTTATTTTATTTTTTATAGATTATACATTTATTTTAATAAGGCTTACGATTCTATTGATCACCAGAAACTATATAATATTCTAATCAAGCAGGGAATTCCAAAAAAACTAGTTATTCTAGTCAGGATATGCTTGATGGAAACACTCCATAAAGTTAGAATCGGTAATAATCTGTCTGAAAAATTTGAGGTTCGTTCGGGTTTAAAACAGGGAGATTCCTTTTCTCCTGCCCTTTTCGATTTGGCATTAGGAAAGTAATGCGTACTGAAAAAGGGTTAAATCTGGGTGGGACAACTCCCGTGCTAGGCTATGCGGATGATCTGGTACTGTTGAGCAAAGACATGGAAACTATAAAACTAAATACGACAACGTTAATGAAAGCCGGTAAAGAACTAGGATTCGAAATAAACGCGGATAAAACAAAATATATGGTTAGCTGTAAAAATTGCTATACTACTGGTGATATCAATATAGATGGTAATATGTTTGAACATGTAGAGAAATTTAGATATCTAGATTCTACGATTACTAGAAAAAACGAAATTGAAGAAAAAATTTAGGTTAGACTGAAGGCGGGAAACGCTTGTTATTTTTCTGTGACAAAACTACTCAGTTCGCGCCTCTTGTCCCGGAACTTAAAAATTAGAATCTATAAAACAATTATCTTGCCTACAGTTCTTTATGGATGCGAAACTTGGCCGCTTACATTAAGGGATGAGCAGCGTCTTAAGGTTTTTGAAAATAAAGTATTGCGTAGAATATTCGGACCGAAGAAGGATGAGTTAACCGGAGAGTTCAGACGGTTACACAACGCCGAATTGCGTGAACTGTATCCGGGTAATATAATTGAGGTAATTTCATCGCGGCGAATCAAATGGGCTTGTAAAGTTGTTGGGCTTAGTAACGAGAGAATTCCTAAAAGGTTAATATTTGCTGTGCCGAGTGGTAAGCGTCCGAGGGGTAGACCGAAGCGAAGGTGGGAAGATTGCATTAAAGCCGATCTGAAGGGACTGGGTTTGGACAGTGAACGGTGGAGGGAGGTGTGTAGTAAGCGATTGGTGGTGTCGGCATCGAACCTTCGGGTTTGCTAAGCCTTTTATTATTATTATTATACATTTATTTTATTATAGTGGTTCATTTACCTATTGTTCAGAAATAAATTAATCAAAAATTAGTATTTGATTGAAAATTTATTTTAACATTTCCAGGAAAACTTAGTCCTCCTCAACAATCTAAGATTTTAGATTGCTAAGGAGGAGTTTGAAGTTTTCCTCCAAACGTCAAAATATATATGCAATCAACTACTAATTTTTGATCAATTTATTTCTGACAAAAAGGCAAATGGACCGCTATAAAAAGAACTAAGGTCAAACAAGCATAATGAAAAATGTATTTTATTATAACTATTTTAATTTTTTCTCTTAAAAATTAATATAGATTACTTAATCAGCTATAGAATTATGTACAGTTTTTATTTTTTTATACAATATAAAAATAAATCTTTATTTTGTGGTAGTTGAATATTTTTTTAAGCATTTTAAATTATAATTTTAAGTTCTAAGATAAATGGAAAAATCCAAACTACAAAGCCATGAATAGTCAACTTGCTAACGTTTCGGCAATTCAGGCTTCATAATGGCAGAAAAACCAAGATCACTTATATGCAGAAAGAAAAATAAAGGAAAAAAAAATTAAAAAATATATTGCTGTAGACATCTCACGAAGCCATCCAAATACATACTGAAATAAAAAGAAGGTCCTATTAACACTGCTAAGGAAGTTTATATTGAACAGCTGATTAGCAGAAATACAAGGAAGAAAAAAAAAATATGCATAACTAATATAAATAAAAATAATTTTTACTTTCACTTGCCTATATATGAAATATATAATAAGGGACAGTATTGTGATCATGAAAATTTTCGAATCTGAGTTTTCAACGGAAATACATGTTTTGAGGTCTCCTGAGTCCAGATAACCAAGTCCCGCAAAATGTATGTATGTGACAAGTCTAGCACAAAAATGAAAAGTCGTATGAAAGTGAAATTGCATATTTAAGATTTGTATATATCTGAGATGTTACAGCAATTTTTTCGTCAAAATTGGCTAACTTGAAATTGCACTTTATATTATCAATGAAACATGTTTTTACTATTCTAGAACAGCTCCAACGATTTTGTTTAAATTCATTATATTTAATGAAAAAAAAGTATTTTTTTACTTGAAAAAATTAACCATTTTACATTGATCTCTAATATAAAAAATAGTTAAATATAAAATATGAAAGAATTGTATAATTAACTAAAGGAGATATAAGATCGTAACAGATAATAGTTGTAATGGAAGAACCAAAGGAATACGAGCGCGTCCGAGCTCACCTGAAAGAGTACAACTGGCTTTTATACGTATCATGAGCTTAATATAATACGGACTCCGACAGTATTATGCACATATTCATATGCTGTTTTCCTAACTGTTTTCGTTGGTATTATTTAATATTTAATTATATAGATTACACAGATATAAATATTACAATTTGTATATATATATATATATATATATATATATATATATATATATATATATATATATATATATATATATATATATATATATATATATATATATATATAAAAGGGTACTTAAGCAAATAAAAATCAATATAGCGTTTAAAATTTTTACTTTCTCTTCCCCTTTGTCTGAAAATACTTATTTCTGCTAAGAAGAGAGTGGTAAGTGAAAGTTGTGTGATGCACACACCATACCAGATTATTTTTTTCTACATATAAGTGATTATGGTTTTTCTGGCCTAATGATGCCTGAATTGGCTAAACGTTGGCTAGTTCACCAATTCACTTATGTAGATGGTTATGTAGTTTGCATTTTTCCATCTATGACCTAATTACCTTATGCCTCTATTCTATCTGTTCTCCTTCCTATATCTGTTGTACCAATACCCTCCCCACCTTTAAATGTTGTCTATTCAATCACTTTTTATACATCCAGTTCCCAACCAATAGTAAATAGGTGTTTCTGTAAATATTTCAATTAATAGTTGGTTTTCATTATTTTTATTTTTTTAGATTTATTAAATTAGAAGCTCACTCATCTTTTATTGGTTTATTTTGTTATTCTCTTCTATTTACATCTGAAGCTATAAATCCTTCAATTCTGTTATTATATTATATTCTAAAGAGACCTGTCCTGGAATAAATGAAGATTATTATTTTTACTATGCTAGTGTAATATTTATTGGATTGTCTTTTTATATTCAAAAAGTTATTTTTTAAAAACTTCTTTGTTTATTTTTTGTTTTAGTCTCATCTGGTTTGCAGTATCCCTCCATTTCGGGATACGAATATCAGAGAAGTCATACCAGTAAGGTTATCGACTACTTCCGGCGGACGATGTTCTGAGCCTCATACTTTTTTCTATACGCCAGTTAATGGTAAGGTCATTTGTGGAAGTAATGGCAATTGGCACTTTCTGCACTTTGCTCACCTCCTCGAACATCTTATTGGGCCCAATACATTCGTTTCACTTGTATTAACTTTGGATTTATTTATTTTCATTATTATTATTTTTTGTTTTGAGTTAACATGAAAATAATAACTTGAGCGGTATTAAGTGACATGTGAGTGTGCTTTTATAAAGTAAATGGATATAGAATGATTAACTTAAAAATCTGATTTAATGTTTATCCATAACCGTTCTTTGAACTGCTGTATTCGTAGAATCTCCTATTATGAAATTTGCTGGATTGTTTGTCATTGGTTGTCGATTTTGTATTAGCAGGAATTAGGTGCACAGATGATTGTTTTTTCTATTACTTAAAGTCAATAATTGGTGTAGGGCTTGTCAACTCTCCAACTCTTGTCAAGAAAGTCTCTGGAAAGTATAGAAGGAGATGCAACTCAACAATTGGAAGTAATCCATGATCATTTGTCGGATAGTTCCATTTAGTTGTTATCACTTCTTTTGAGAAATAACAAAATATCCGCCAATCAATCAGAGGATTCAGATCGCTACACAATGTTGAATAATCTGAATGGTATCCAGTAAATGTAATGTGGTGATATGATTCACAGGCGGATCTACGGGGTGGGGCGGGAGAGGAAGAGGGGGCTTTGGGGCTGAAGCCTCCCCTCCCAAAATGGTAAAATGCAACCATGTTTTATGGTAAAATATTATTAAAAAATTATGTCTTAAACTATTATTGCTCGTTTAATTACATTTAATAGGACTTCAAGTATTACTTTAACACCATTTCATATAGGTGGTTAGTATCTTTCTGTTTTTCCAAAGTAATCATCGTTATATATATGAAAAAAAAAAGGCTTCCTGGCTGAAGCCACTCGCTCCTCTCCCCCAAAAATTAAATCCTGGATCCGCTAGTGATATGATTGCAGTGAATGAAATGGACATATCGCATCATCATATGGCTGTCACCAATCAATCACTATAAAGTTAATAAGAACCGTGCCAACTGGCACTAAATGTTCAAAAGACGACTAGGTCAAATCACCTCCTTGCAGAACCGTTGACTAAGAAACATTACTTCCTGACAAAGTACTGAATCCAAGATAGGTTGTAGCGGTACGAAAAAAAAAACATGTTTTTTTTCTATTACTTTCTCTAAAGGCTATTTTCATTGAGTTGTAGAAAAAATTTCATGTTGATTTTTGTGTCCGTTATGTATGAAACGATCAAGAACAGGTCTTAAAAGGGGATATTTTCAATGACAAAAGTCATTATGTAAATAACCTAATAAAGTTAAATGTAAATAATTTGTTTTGGCGGGAATAGAGAATAGCCTTCCGCTTTTATCGGGGAACTAGGTTATTTACACTTTTGATTTTTAAAACAAAACCCCGGCACTGGATATAGACTTTTTGAGGATGTTTAACTGTCGTTGGGAATTCGGGAATCTAATACCTTTTGTGAAACTGAGTGAGAAGAAACAATAAGAATATACATATGAAATGTGGGACTTAGTAAATACACTTTGAATGAATTGACTCACCTGGTTTATTATTCTTCAATTGTGAGGCCTATAGGACAACTAAATAAAAGGACTATTCACTCCTGTCTAACAAGACAATTTATTTTAACAACTGATAATAAATGAATATATTAAAGTCTTATAACTGTAGGCTTGATATTCTTGGTCTTCAATGTTCTGCCTCTCTCATCTCAGGTAACGTCCTCTCGCCTCCGTGTTTCTGCCTCAAGTGCCCCTCTCTCCCTCGGTGTCCTCCTGCAGCTGTTGCTAGCTACCTCCTGTCCTTTTTCCAGCGTCCTTCATCGAGTTTATCGATATGAGTCATTTCCATATATAATTTGTCCACTGCACAATTGAGTACAACTCGCAGTGCAACCTCACATTCCTATATAATCCTCATACTCTCACACAATGTCACATAAAGGAGTAAATGCCAGGGGATGTCTACTACAATTATGAAATATTTGTAGAATGTAAATCGCATGAATAATTGTCATCTTCACATTCCTTTTTGTTTCCAATATGTTCAAAGTCAAGTATCTTACGATAAAGTATGGCGATAAAGTGACGCCATGATGGTTGAACACATTAAGTCCCAGAATGTCTTGTTTAGAACGGGGAAAGGCAATGCAAGGAGGAAACAGTTCTCCCTATCAATACATGTACCAGCATGATGATAAGGTCAATCAGTTTTTGAACTGTGTACCAGTCTGACTCGGAGATAACATTCTGACAGTGTAAAGCTCCTTAGATATGAAGGGATCTATTTTTTTCATGTAATATTGATAATAATTATAAAAGACGATTTAATCTTAATGCCAAAAAAACAGGCAATAATTGAAATTTTAAGAAGTAGTAAAATAATGTATAAACTCCAATTGTTCTGACACTTATCATAATCTATGTTATTTTATAGAATAGAAAATATATTGTCATGGGTGATAAATATTCAGGACGCAGTCTTTTTAAAAAAAATTTTTTATATTTTTGCCAACGTTTCAACCCAAACATGTGGGTCATCTTCAGGGCTGAAAATGTTTTTTAAAATACAATCAGAGATATGATAGTATACGACCGCTAATTATAAATAATAAACTATAGTGATTGGTGGTACATGAATCTTAACTAATATTGCAATACATATACATTCATATTAATGTGTTATTCTTAAAATATTGTATAATATATTATCCTACGTATCATTTCAATACATTGAAATTGTCTTTAATTAGTTTAGATTAGAAATTAGATTAATTAGAAATTATTAGTTTGGTTTGTAATTCATTTATGTTAGAATTCTTGAAGGAAGTTAGTCGACTGTTCTACATATCACGGGTGATAAATATTCAGGACGTAGTCTTTTTTAAAAATTAATTGAAATTGTCTTTATTATAAAAATTATTTATCTAACAATTGTATACTTTTTATCAAACTAAGCTATATTTATATTGATTTGCACCTCTTGCTTATGTTCATTTCATTACTAGCCAATAGTCACATTTCTGTAACCATATGAAACAACTCAAATATTGTACACGTTTGAAATATTTAGTCAGCAAATTATGTACATTCTACAAACATAAATGTTACCTCCCTTCCCCTCTAACTATGTTTACTTTTTACTATCTGAAAAAGGACAACTGGGAAATCCTCCCCCCTCCCCCTGACTTTTTCACTTACCTACCAAATGTGTCAGTACTTGAACACCCTCAGTGCTCAATCCACGGTTAGTAAGAGAAAATATTACGAATTTGTATAAATGGATTATATACATTATTATTTTTTAAATTTTAGTTTGTTTAACTATTTACATATTTAATTTTAATATGTGTATTGCAATATTAGTTAAGATTCATGTACCACCAATCACTATAGTTTATTATTTACCATTATTGGTCGTATAATATTATATCTCTGATTGTATTTTAAAAAACATTTTCAGCCCTGAAGATGACCCACATGTTTGGGTTGAAACGTTGGCAAAAATATTTTTAAAAAAGACTGCGTCCTGAATATTTATCACCCATGATATGTAGAACAGTCGACTAACTTCCTTCAAAAATATATTGTCTCATTGAATACTTAATAGTTGACCATTGCATTATAAAGGAAGGAGATGGTCCAGGCTGGCGGTCATAAATAGGCTAAATAGTGGTAAAACTATTTTATTGAAAGCTGATGTTTCGACCCGACTTTGCAGATCTTCTTCAGGGAGGTGTGTTCAGCTAGGAATTTCACTTAGAACTCAGGTTAGGAGTTTCACTTAGAACTCAGGTTGGGAGTTTCACTTAGAGTTCTAAGTGAAAATCCTAGACGAACACACCTCCCTGAAGATGACCTGCAAAGTTGGGTCGAAACATCAGCTTTCAATAAAATAGTTTTGCCACTATTTAGCCTATTTATGACCGCCACCCTGGACCATCTCCTTCCTTTAAACATATTGTCCATTTCGTTTTGTAAAGTGTTGGTGAATTAATTTATGGCAATATTTATTCTAATGTGAATTTCATTTATTTACGCTTGAAATTATTGTTTCTGTGCCCTGTTTTAATTGTTCATATTTTCACCAATGCATTAAGTCTTCAATCTAGGAAGTTAGGTTGTAATTTTTTTTTTATAAAACGGATACGACCTTGTTATTATTTAAATTCATTCTCAAGTCTAATTTTTGGTTTTTCATTCAATCCATTTAGTTCCTTTGAATTTCACAGCTTATAGTCATGAGATTTTTCAATTATGCTTGAATTTTTTTTATGTCATATCGCTGTACAGTATGTTTATCCTAAAGAAACTGTCTGTAACTTACTAATCTCGATGTATGTTTATGCTTTTATTCTCCTTCCTCCATTTATTATATTAAAATTTCTTTATTAAATAACTCATCAACTTTGTTAAATTAAAATAATACAGTGCAATCTTAGTAATCTGAACTATCGAATTATAGAGGGTGTTGAGGAAAGTTACTTAAAATAAAAGATCAAAAGTCAACATATACATACAATACAAATAATTGTAGTTAAGTAGTTTGGTTTTCAACCCCTACGGGAGATCACCGCTGACTTCATAGATCCTTTTACGCTGTTAAATTTCTTAAACAAAGTTGGAATTATTATTAAAATATTTTTCTTCTAGATGTGATGAAGGTAAGATTACCTTGCAACTTTACTTGTTTTGTTTATTATTCATTTTAAAAAATATGAACTGTATATAAGAAGAGGAGAGCATCAAAATATCTTAAGAAGGATGGGAGAAGATTCATGCTCTATCGACCTAGGGGAGGGGGATGGACACCCCTGATGTTTCTAATTTTAAAAATGTATCAATTTCTCATTATGTATTATGTATAATTAAAAGAAATATGCTGCAAATGATTACACATTTTCTTTTTTGTATATATATATATATATTATCCTTTAAATAGGAAAAATTCAGGTTTACTGAGATTG